GCCCCGCTTCGGTAAATTTAGTTCTGCAGCACGGTGGAAAGCCTTGCAAAATCTCTATTGCACTATTCGTCGACTATTCGTACTATTCGTCGACTATTCGCGGACTATTCGTACTATTCGTCGACTATTCGCGGACTATTCGCCCTATTCGTCGACTATTCGCGGACTATTCGTACCATTCGTCGACTATTCGCACTATTCGCTTCACTATTCTAGTTTTATCAATTGCCGTTTTGTGGACCCGAGACCGTCGATGTTTCATCATCGACGGTCTCGTGTCCTCAAAACACACTGCTTTCCCGAGGTCTCAGTAAATAAGAGTTTTATTATATATCAATAGTCAAAGAAACAACAAATTAAGAACAAATGAACGTAAATACATGAAATATTTTATTGTTAAAACGTTATATTAAACACTGGCTACGCTGCAGTTACTTAAAACGAAAGTTTCAATTACGTACTAGGTATGTCTAAAGGTCGCATCTTCACGTGGTGGCGCTCGTGATTTTTTTTGTTATTCGCCGGTCGATAACGTATTATCTCCCTCTCGCGCTGTTGCGAGGGAGACATCCTAATTTCGTCACTCTCACGTGATATGCTTCCAACCAATAAAACACTAGAAAAATGCGACTTTGACAAATGATATATAATATTATAATATATCAATAGTCAAAGTCGCATTTTTCTAGTGCTTTATTGATTGAGAGCATATCACGTGAGAGTGACGAAATTAGGCCCTCTCCCTCGCAACAGCGCTTATATATACTTACTACGAAATATCACTTACTCAAACCGTCCTGACCGCGTAGCTCAGTTGGAAGAGCATTGGGCTAGTGTTCCAAAGGTCGTAGGTTCGAATCCCACCGTGGCCGGGCATATTTTTCAAGCTCGCCCGGTGTGGATATGCACTCAGAGTAACATCACAAACTCATGATAATTGTTAATGTTAAAAGATCTAATGTTATATCTGACAGACCGTTTTTTAACAATATTTGAGACATCTAGATCGTATAAGCCGTTTTGGCATTTAAAAAAGAAAACCAGATCGTTCCACGTTCTTCTATGTTCCAAGTGACTAGTCTCATCGTGTAACTGCAATGTTGAGGGTAATCCAGAATAAATTTAGTCGCTCTTCGTTATGATATATATGATAATATTGATCCAAGACAACTCCCAAAAACACAATTTCACTTACTTGAGTAATTTCATGATTATTTATGAACAAATTTATATTCAACCTTGCCTTCTTTTGTTTTGGCCTAAATAACATGTATTTCGTTTTATCTAAATTTAATGATAACTTATTTGCTTTAGTTGATATTAGAGATAAACGTCTGTAAAAGAGAATACAAATATTATATAGGCGACGAGGATATAAAGTGAGCAATATACCAGATGAAGAAACGCCACAGCCGACACAACAAACTGTACCAGTTGTACAAATGGCACAATCGGTCACAATACAGCCTATGCCTGAATTTCGTCCCGATGCCAAAGTAGGAGCAAGCCTCGCTACTAGACGGAATGACTGGCAAGCAGATTTTGAAATGTTCATTATAGCCAGTGGGATCACTGACGCTAAACGTAAACGAGCGCTGTTATTATATCAAGCAGGACCTCGTGTGAGAGAAATATTTAAACCATTAGCGGACACGGGTAACGATGATAATTATGAAGTCGCCAAAACTAAACTAAAGGAATACTTCGATCTACAAAAAGACAGAAGATATGATGTGTATCGTTTTCGCCAAGCTATGCAAAAAACTGATGAGACCCTTGATGAATATCACACGCGATTACGGACAATGGCTGCAACTTGCGAATTCAACGACGTAGTGTTGGAAATCGAACAACAAATTATCATTTGCGGCACATCCTCAAAGATTCGTAAACACGCGTTGAGAGACCCGAAATTCGACTTGAAAGGACGAAGAGATGAGCAAAGTTCCTATCAGATTAAGGACATTGAGTCAAAAGAGCCAACCGAGGTATATACCAACAAACTCGAAGGGAAATCAGAGAAAACCGAAGCGAAAACATGTCACTGTTGCGGGCGTGAATATCCGCACGTAGCCGTAGGACAATGCCCTGCGAAGAGTTAGACATGCCATATATGTGGCAAAGTAAATCATTTTGCTAGGGTATGCGGAAGTAAGCCGAAAGCACCGAAAGAGAATACTAGAAAACAAGACAAAGGTCGGGGAAAAGCTCTAAATCCTTTAAACCATGACGAAATGGACAATTCTGATGAGGATTATTTATATACGGTAAAAAAAGATCACGCAAATACCGCTAAAGTCAAGGTCAAAGTGGGCGGAGCATCTTTTATGATGACACTTGATACGGGAGCAACAATTAATGTTATCGATGAACAAACATTTTCGAAAATGAACGGATGTTAAGTTAAAGCAGACAAATACTAAAGCATTTCCGTATAATACAACACAATCTGTCAAATTCCTTGGAAAATTCGAGGCGGTTGTGGAAACACGCAAGCGGTTATCTGTGGCCATGTTCTATGTAGTAAAAGGCCAAAATAGTGGAAATCGTTTGTCTCTAGCTGCAGCTCAAGACCTTGGACTTATAACTTTACATCTAAATCATGTTACAACGAAAGATGACAACCTGGACAAAATCCTTGGAAAACATACTCAAGTATTTCACGGACTGGGCAAATTAAAAGGTGAGACAGTAAAATTAAACATATATAAAGACCAAATACGAAAAGCCCAACCTCAACGTCGAATTCCTTATCACATTCATAAAAAGGTAGAAGACGCCTTAAAAGCACTTGAGAAGGAAGACGTAATTGAAAGGGTGCCTGAGAATGAGGCAACACCATGGGTATCAACCATAGTCGTAGTTCCTAAGAAAGATTGGGGAGTCAGAATATGCGTAGATATGCGGCAAGCGAATGAAGCCATACGCCGCGGGCACGACACCCAATTCCTACCGTGAACGATGTTAGTTTTGCACTTAATGGGGCACAATATTCACTAAACTTGATCTATCCCAAGCTTACCATCAACTAGTGCTAGATCAAGAAAGCAGATTTATTACCACGTTCAGTACTCTGTAGGATTATATCGTTACAAGCGTTTGACCTATGGGACTAATGCGTCCGCTGAAATCTTTCAACATGTCCTTCAAACAAAGCTGCGGGGTCTAAATGTAGTAATACAGGGACTAAATAGATATAATCGTGTTCGGAAAAACGCGGGCTGAACATGATCAAAATGTAGATAAATGCCTTGCCCGCTTATCTAATTCTGGTCTAAAGTTAAACCGAGGAAAGTGTACTTTCCTCGAAGATAAGTTGGAATTTTTCGGACAGATATTTTCCAAAGAAGGCACACGACCTGACCCGAAACGGGTAAATGACTTACTCAATGCTGCCCAGCCTTCCAGTGTTACTGAAGTACGTAGTTTACTAGGTATGGCTAACTACAGTAGCAAATATATTCGTGACTTTGCTACTTTAACTGCCCTACTTAGAGAACTAACCTAAAAGAATGCACGATTTACATGGTTGCCAAAACACCAAGCATGTTTTGACAAATTCAAAGCAACCTTAGCATCAGCACCATGTTTGTCATACTTTGCTAAAGACAAAGAGACACTAGTTATTGTGGATGCTAGTCCTGTGGGCATCTCAGCAATTCTATCACAACAGGAACCAGGTACAAATGATCCTAAAATTGTGGAATATGCAAGCAGATCCCCAACAGACAAAGAAACACGTTATTCACAAACAGAAAAGGAAGCTTTAGCAATAGTGTGGTCTGTTGAACATTTTCATTTGTTTTTATATAGTAGCCAATTCACTCTAGTTACAGATCACAAACCGGTACAAGTGATTTATACGGAAGTCGAAAAGCGAAAGCTTCAGCAAAATCGAGCGCTGGATCCTTCGTCTTCAGCCATACTCGTTTAAAATTGTTTATAAATCAGGCGCGAATAATCCAGCCGACTATTTATCGAGACATCCAATCAACCCCAATTCACGAAAGCAAGAGAAAATGACCGAGGAATATATTAACTTTATTGTGCATAATTGTGGTCCCCAGCGCCATGACTCTGGATGAAATAATGAAAGCAACAAATTCGGACAGTATATTAAAAGGTCTCCGTGCAGCTATATGACTCATACGATGGGACTCACCTGTAGTACAATCCTTTAAATCGATAAAGGATGAATTGACTGTCACGTCCCATGGGGTAATTCGTAGGGGAACCAGAATTGTAATTCCAAAATCTTTACAACAAAGCTCACGAAACATACCTTGGAGTTGAAAAGATCAAAAGTCTTGTTAGAGAAAAGATATGGTTTCCCCAGATGGACACCATGGTGAAAAACACAATAGAACGATGTGTTGCATGTCAAGCATTTGGGCGAGCGAATGCACCTGAGCCAATAGCAACAACAAATATGCCAAAACACCCATGGAGAGTTTTATATGTCGACTTCTATGGCCCTCTGCCATCGAATGACTACCTACTGGTGGTGATTGACCGGTACCCAAGATTTCCAGACGTGGAAATCGTCCGTTTTACAAAAGCTTCAGTAGTGATACCGAAGCTTGATAAAATATTTGCTGTGCATGGCATCCCAGAAGTCTTAAAGTCAGATAATGGCCCGCCGTTTGATGGAGATGAGTATAAGCAGTACTTAAAGTCACTGGGAATCAAACCCGAGTTTTCTACTCCGTTATGGCCTCAATGCAACGCCCAAGTTGAGATATTTATGCAACCCCTTGGAAAAGCGCTCAAAACAGCCAAAATCGAAGGTCGCCCATGGAAGCAAGAGCTCAATTGATCCTTGCTACAGTATATAGGATGACACCACAAAGTACTGCCGGTGTTCCTTCGGCTGAACTACTCTTCAATCGGACGGTACAAAGCAAGTTACCCATTCTTCACAGGAAGAACATTGTGAACCGACATAAAAGCGTTTTCTGAGAAGAGTATATCCGAACCTCTCTTATGAGGACGCTATTAAAAACTCGAAGTTAGATTTATTGTTTGATCGTAGAACAGCTGCAGCTTGCCTCAAACTTTTTGAAGAGACCCAAATGACAGATCATAAATTACATTCACTAGTTCCGAGAAAAAGTTTGTTCGTATTCCCTAAGACAATGTAGTAAATTCCATCTACTTCGAATTCGAACTGATCGGTATAAGAACTCATTCATAATCGCTAATAGTCTTCAACAGTAGTTTAATTTTTTTTAAATTGTACCATAGTCATATATCTAACCCAATTTTTATTACTTGTTATGCACATATTAATAGGTAATCGAGTCTCTGTACATCGTATGTAATTCAGTTGTTTTTATTGTAACTGCAAATTACGATTATTAAAATCAATTAATCAATCAATCAAAAGGAAGCTCGTGAAAATGAAAACAAGGAACAGAAGTATAACAAAAGATATGCAAACGAAAGGAGGAATGCAAAAGAAAGTGGAATCAAAGAGGGAGACTATGTGTTAGTGAAACAACCTAAGGCAAATAAACTAACGCCAAATTTCAATCAAACCCTTTATGTTGTTATTTATCCGAAAAAAACAGTAGTTAGAGCTAGAAATAAAGTGGACATGAAATAGAACGAAACATTTCACATTTTAGAAAGATACCAAAACCCAACAAAGATAATGAAGATACGTCACAGGAAACCGACGATTTCAGTACAGAGAATAACAATAAGCGTACTCCAGAGGAAACAGAACAGTTTAGCATGAACGACCGTAATAACAACAATCGTGGTAACGGTATGAATGTGCACCCACTACGGTCCACAAGAGTAAGAAAGCAACCCGAAAGATACGGACAAACATTACCGTCTAACATTGTTACGTGACTTTTATTAAAGTAATAACAATAGATAAATTAGTATTAATTTGTGATATGGACACAATTTATATTTGATCATGAACAGTTAAAACTTTTATGTTTTGTTAAAACAAAGGGAATGGTTTAGTGATGTCATAGACTGGAGTGACAGATATAGTCATGTGACATGAGAGCACATGGAATCATTAGGATTAGGATTTTGTAGCGTGCAGTTGGTATTAGATATAAACGTCTGTAAAAGAGAGAACAAATATTATATAAAGTTTCGAAACATTAGCTAAGTCATTGATATATAATAAATAGAAAAGAGGACCCAAAATTGAACCCTGAGGTACTCCGCAGGAAATATTCTGCTTAATAGAATTTGTTTGATTATATTGTACGTACTGCATTCTATCCGATAAGTAACTTTTAATTAAATCTAAAGCTAGGCCCCAATTCCATAGTAATTCAGTTTATCAAGTAGAATATTATAATCTAGGCCTACTGTATCAAAGACCTTTGAAAGGTCTAAAAATATTCCAACCGAGTGTTCCTTACGATCAATGGACCAATCCCCAATTAACAAAAATTTTGATCTCAACAAGTCTAAACAAAATTCCATCATAGCATGAAAGAGGATCACAAAATTAGTAATATTAATTCCAAAGTTTCGTTGCGAAATGTTGTAAAATGCGGATAATATAGCTTTGCGAAATTTGCAATTTTCAGTTATGTTTTGTTGCGAGCGGGAAACGGTTACCACTTTTCCAAAATTTTGATCTCAAATTTTGATCTAAAAATATTCCAACCGAGTGTTCCTTACGATCAATGGACCAATCCCCAATTAACAAAAATTTTGATCTCAACAAGTCTAAACAAAAATCTCATCACAGCTTGAAAGAGCATCACAAAATTAGTAATATTCCAAAGTTTCGTTGCGAAATGTTGTAAAATGCGGATAATAATTATATCATTTTGTATTACGTACAGAAGTGGTAACCATTTCCCGTTTGTAATCTAAAATGACTGAAAATTACAAACTTCGCAAGGCTATAATAGTCTAGGACCTGTATATAAGTTTGTATGCATTTCATTTAGGACAGATAATCTCAACTGTTTTAGGGCAAGTTGACCATGACGGTCAACATGGTAACGCTGCCCGAACCCCAATCCGGCGCGAAACGTCCGAAACTGACCACACCCAAACACGATGCTTTCGCCATACTCCTATCTACCAAACCATAAAAGCTTTGGCTATTCTGAGGTGCTTATATGGTTCAGAGATGGTACTTTTGGGGGTGGTCATTGGTAAATGTGAAATGCCTAGCACTAATATTTCACAAGAAAATGACCATGCATGCGCAATAATCATAGTTAAACGTCAATTTGTGGCTTGCAACGTCAGATAAACAGCAGTGGACTTACATTACCTTTTCCCTAAATCTTTTTGATAGAAACATAATTGGTACTTATTTAAATATATTATCACTGGTTTGGTGTAAAATAGTTAATATTTTCTGACCGAAATAATAATTTTAAATGTGCCTACCTCCTGCAAATGGACGTATTTGGCCAAGTTCTCCATTTGACTCCGCTGTTTATCGGCGATCTCGTCGACATCCTACAACAAATGTAAATCATCTCAGACATTATATAATGGTATCAAGAACATTTTAAACAAGTTTCAACTTGGTTTCAGGTAGATCATATCTGTTTAACCATCGACAAGGTAAATCCACAACTTTGTCCAAATTCGGCGCCATTTTGTCATCCCATGTCGGTTGTCAACAATTCAGCCTTTTTACTCTTCCATCCAAGCCATTTCCATTCCACTAATAATAAATTTAACCCTTTATAACGGGTTATATATAAACAAAATATAAGAAATGCGCCATTTTATTACCCTGTAAAATTTTGCTCACGAGTCTTTCAAAACATTCCGTACAAATATCGCGTGACAAAGTAACAGGAACGTGACAGGAGGGGGTGAATTATTTCACGAAGATAGAAGAAGACTGCGTGAAATAGACTAAAAGCTAAATATACAATCATGCAAACGTTTGTTTTATTCCTTGTAGCGACAAATATATACATATTATTATTTATTAATATCAGAAAGTCATACAAATTAAATGTTGCTTGTTGGTTTTACCATACTGTGTGGGCTTTCCTTTCATTTTTCAAGTCTCTACCCCCCCTGTCACGTCCCTGGTGCTAAACCACGCGAGATTTGTACGAAATGTTTTGAAGGACTCGTGAGCAAAATTTTACATGGTGATAAAATGGCGTATTTTTTATATTTTGTTTAGATTTTTTAGTTTCCTCCTGTTATAAAGGGTTAAATTTATTATTAGTGGAATGGAAATGGCTTGGATGGAAGAGTAACAAGGCTGAATTGTTAACAAGCGACATGGGATGACAAAATGGCGCCGAATTTGGACAAAGTTGTGGTTTTACCTTGTCGATGGTTAAACAGGTATGATCTACTTGAAACCAAGTTGAAACTTGTTTAAAATGTTCTTGATACCATTATGTCTGAGATGATTTACATTTTTTGTAGGATGTCGACGAGATCGGCGATAAACAGCGGAGTAAAGTGGAGAACTTGGCCAAATACGTCCATTTGCAGGAGGTAGGCACATTTCAAATTATTATTTCGGTCAGAAAATATTAACTATTTTACACCAAACCAGTGATAATATATTTAAATAAGTACCAATTATGTTTCTATCAAAAAAGATTTAGGGAAAAAGGTAACGTAAGTCCACTGCTGTTTATCTGAAGTTGCAAGCCACAAATTGACATTTAACTACGATTATTGCATGGTTATTTTCTTGTGAAATATTAGTGCTAGGAATTTCACACTTACCAATGACCACCCCCAAAAGTACCATCTCTGAACCATATAAGCACCTCAGAATAGCCAATGATTTTATGGTTTGGTAGATAGCAGTATGGCGAAAGCATCGTTTTTGGGTGTGGTCAGTTTCGGACGTTTCGCCCCGGATTGGCGTTCGGGCAGGGTTACCATGTTGACCGTCATGGTCAACTTGCCCTAAAACAGTTGAGATTATCTGTCCTAAATGAAATGCATACAAACTCATATACAGGGCCTAGACTATAATCCACTAGTTGTATAATTATGAATATTATTTGTAAATATATTATCTATTAGTGTTGCCGTATTTGAAGTTATTCTAGTTGGACGAGATATCAGTGGATGAAACATATTTGAATATATAGAATCTAAAACTTCGCCAGTTTTAGGACTAGATTGATGATTCATTAAGTTCAAATTGAAATCATCCATTATAGGCTTTATAGCATATCTTATTTCCCGTAAAATGTTCGACATTAATTCATTGAATCGTTGTAAAAACAAATCTAAATTTCGATCAGGAGGCCTCTAAATGACACCAACAATAATGTTTCTGCCACGAGACTTGCTAAACTCTAAAAACAAAGTTTCCGCAAGATCGATATCAATAATTTCTAAATCACCACGTGATTCAAAATCATGATTGTTTAGAACATATAAAGCCACGCCTCCTCCTTGAGTCCTATTTTGTCGGCATTTTGAAATAAGATCATAACCATCAATATTAACCAACTGGGCCGAATTAAGCCAGGTTTCGGTAACACCTATTACAGAAAATTGCAATTCCAGACTAAACAATAGATCCGTAAGCCTATTCAGATTAGACCTAAGGCTACGACTATTTACATGCATGACAGAAAAACATGATCTTGACTTAACTTTTGAATTAAAAATATCATTGAGTTGCTCCTCAACATAGTAATTACATGCAGTCATTAGTGTTATTGAACATATTTAAGTCTGGATCCAGATCACTGGATAGTGTAAGATAATTATCTCCTTGTAAAAAGGATTAAAGTGTAGGCAATCAAGTCTATCTGCATCATAATTAATCGAGCCATTTTGCATTTCAAATATTAATAAATTAAATTCCTTGTCATCTAACCCAGAAAACGGAAAAACGTCCGGAGAAAAAGCCATAAATAAAATAATGTCAACAAAATTAAATTTACAGTCCTGCAGTAAATACTCTTGCATGGCTGATACTTGTCCATATATTCTCCTTCAACTCCACGTCCTTGTAGCAACTGGGTGTTTTGTCGTTTAATTCCGTAAACTATTCCAGCCAACAAAATAAATTAGCCTCTCGTCTAGTGTTGCTTGAAAACAAGCCGCCGCTATTTTCCATCCTTCACTTAAAAAAAAGTTCCGGTCGTCTGATTGGCTAAGAGAGCAGAGCCTGATTTCCCCTCGCGTAGAAAATAAGGCTCTGCCGTTTTTGTGTTTTTGTTCGTCCAAAATTCTGGACGAAGTAAAGCGGTAATAAACCAGTCCTAACTGGTTTAAATGCGCGCGCCTTCGTTTTGCATGTAAACCGTTTGACTACAATTTGATCCTGCTATATATATACAAAATTTAAAACTTTATACTTTATAACCGAAATTTGGCTGACAATAACTTGATATATATACTGAAAAGTAACGTAGGATAAAATAAACTAGCAAGTTAACAATTGTTTAACAAGTATAAAACATTTTCTGTGTTGATATACAGTTATACCAACACGAGTGGGAATTGGGAAAACGAGACATTGTGTGGAATCTTCACACAATTTCGGGTTTTCCTATGATTTCCACGAGTTTTTATAATATAGCACAAAGAAATATAAAGAAATAAATCTTCCGTGTTGACATTGAGTTATATTAACACGGCTCTTAGCTAGCAAATCAGCGTTCAGAATTTACATATGCTATATTATAAAAAATATATAGTAATAGTTTGATTTCACAACTTACAAGTGACAAAACTATCGAATTGAAAATGTTTTTGTATTATTTATCACCGAGCCAACGGCACGGAGCGTCGTTCCGGGCGTAACCTGGGGCGAGGGTACTAATTCCCCCCGGCCATTTACAGCCGGGGAAACGAAAGCATTAGCGTAGTCTAAAGCCAGTTCACCAATGATCGCGGGCGTGGCTCACTGTGCGTGGGTGGTAATCCTCACTGATTTCAAAAATATGGCGGACTGTCATTAATAGCGAACACTATGATTGGTCAAATTTAAAATTCGCATTATAACGACTGCATGACGACAGCGAAATAGCGAACATTTTTCTTGCAAATATATTTCATTTTTGGAAGATTTTGTGAATTTCTCGGTGAATTTCAAAAGCATTTTTAAGAAAAAAAGGCGAAAGAATCGTCTTAAAGAAGGGAGCAAACGCCCCGACGTTAACGAAGGTAAGTTTGTTTTAACTATTATTATTAATGTACTGTTAGCTACAATTTAAAAGCCTATCGTCGGTTGCTTACAAACGCAAGAAGACAGCATATAATTTCAGTGTATCTTTTATATTGATTATCCTTTTTTATTATATTATAAAATTGTTTAGATAAATAAAAAAGAAAGCAAGGTTATTTGCATGCGAGAATTTGAAATCATTTTATTTCAAACTCAAAGTTTATCGATAAACCAAAGGCAGTTTAGTTTTATAAAGAACACTTTAAAATTAAAACGTTTTGGAAAGCGTTTGTGGTTGAATTTTACCTTAAATTGAAGCTTATATTACGTATAATAACATACCTAACATATATATGTTTGGGAAATTGGTAATTTTGTAATTAAAAGTGATATTTTTAGGAGATTTTTCATTTGTAAAAACATTCTTAAAAAATTATCGTGTTACCATGACAACTACTTTAGATACTTCATGGTCGGAAAATACATGGTTGTGTCAGAAGGCGAGGGTTTCTGCATGCATGTATTTTCTAGTATTGTCGTAATTCTACAGCACGTGCAGTTGCACGCGCCCAGCGTGTAGCGATAACTGCATGCGATTGGTTGTCTAAATTTAGCACTCATTCTAAAAATACATGTGATCTTTGACATATTTTGACATAATAATGATAATATTGGAAACAGAGCATGCTCGATAGAAATTAAACACAAAAACGGCAGAGCCTTATTTTCTACGCGAGGAGAAATCAAGCTCTGCTCTCAAGGAAGCTAAAAGTCTGCAAATGTTTTGGCAAAACGAAAAAAATCGCTCTCAAGGTGAATTTTGCAAAATCGACCGCCGAATTTTTACCAGTGTGTGCAACTATTAACAATTTTATTGAATTGATTTAATTATTTCTTTTCGCGCCGTCCCGTGAAAATCGTACGTCGTATCACGACCGGTGTGTGGGCTTTTAAGGTGGCTTTAACATAACCTGCGATCGGGCCTATAAATAAATAAATAGGCCTGATACAAATCATAACAATAGCCATGCCGTGCCACCGTATGTCGCGCGGTTGCAAATTTGATTGGTCTATCCGACAAAAGGTTTTTTCTTCTGTCATTTGATTGGTTGGTGCTAATTAACAGATTATACTATTGTTGTTAGTATATTTTATAGTGATTAGAACTATAATTAGATTGTTGTTGTTGTGTGAAATTTAAATTTCTCCTGCGACATTTTGCTTGGATACTAAATATAAACTTTGCTGTGGGTGGTAAGCGATCGTGTCTACGGTTCTACTGGGCATCCAAAATGTGCGCGAAGTTTTCTGGCGTTTTTGTCTGCAAAGGAAGCGCCAGTTTTTCATTATATGGGACCATGCAAAATGTATTTTTATACGGGGCCGGAGCAAAAGGGGCGGGCCACAAACTTTTTTGAGCTGCATAGAAACATGGCACAAAGATTGTTTGCTGTATTTAAGGCGGGACACAAATATTTTTTTCGATTTTACCACATTCCTCACAATTAACCCATTACGCAGCAATGCACCCAAATGCCCCCTCTTTGCATTTAATTATGTCTAACGCCAAACAGTTTTACTCGTCAAGGAGAGGATCTTGTGCTCTAATGGGATAATACTTAGTTAATAAAATAATCATGCACAGATGCAAGGAGGTGACCACTTTTATTAGTAATTAGCGTGGTGGCAACTATGGTGATTCAGTTGAAGATCAGGGAACCTCGATCGGGAAGTGACAGCGTAAGTTATCTTTCCTATCCAGAAGCTGATGAATGTATTATTGCATCATGTGGCAACACAAAATCTTCGTCAGTTCCAGAATCCTCGTGTGATGAAGGAGATCAAACAACTGCAAGTGAAAGGCCAGCGTGGGTTTATTCTCTTTAGCAACAAAGGCCGACTGTGTTCATAACAAGCTCTCGTGACACGACGAGATATAATATGGCGACTATTAGACGGGTGAAAATCAAACTTAAAAGACGATGTAAAACTGTTAGACTGAGAAGGACTTTTTATCGTAAACCCCGGCTTTTAAAAAAAAAGAATTAAAGGAATTAGAAAAGATGGCTAGAGAAACGAGTTTAGATAGAGTGAGGTCGAACAGATGTAGGAAGGTTTAGCAATAAACGGTAAATATAATGTAATGTGACTTACCATTTTATTCCGGAGATTATGGGAAAATATCTTGAGGTTGACAAATTTTTAATATTATAAAATTTTATTTTATGTGGACATGACACAAAGATAACTTATTCACAACCCCTCGCTCCGCTTCAACATTGAAACCCGAACAGAAACTGCGATGACATGTACAAATTGAGAGTTTACGATCAGCTAGCTCATCTTAACTGAACATGCGTAGAATGCACTCGCTGACGTGTATTGAATATTAATGAATTTTTTTCCTTCGTAATCCTTTCGCCACTGGAAAGTGGCGAAAGGATTACGAAGTCGTTTTCCACGCATTTCTGTTCATTTGGCCAGAAATATCGATTTTCTTACGGTAACGATGTATTTATGATTGTCAATGTCATCCTTGATATATTGGAGTGTTTTAGCAGTTTTGCATAATCATTATTCAAATGAAATTTAAGCGTACACAATTCACAAGCGTGTTATGTGTTTACGGAAGACTTTGGATTTTTAATTCAATTGCGTGCTGTATACTCACACGAATATTTAATTATGATGCAATGTGTAATACAATATAATAATTTGTAATAAAACTATATGCATGATTCACGGTTTGATAGCAAAATTCATTCTTCTTTCCCAGAAAAACCCCTGTTTTTTACCAGAAGCATACATAGTGCGGTTTCTCATACTTTTTTAAAAATATTTTGCATAGAACAGAAAAGGAAAACGCAATTTATCTTGCCTATAATTTCATAAATGGAGTTCAGTTTGAGTAACTCCACCAAAGTGAGTTAAATCGTGCATACTACAGTAATTTGTTCGCAAATACACTTGAACTCCTAAAATAAATTATTATAACTAAAATGTGGAAGTATAACCTTGAAATAATATCTCCACCAAAATAAGTACAGTAATAGGAAATTAAAATGATTTTCTGAAAAGCACAATGTAGCTGTTATTTAATATGCCTGTACCTAACGCCTGTCGGTCAAAAAAATATGTGATTGCTGTCAATTTCTCGTCTTCCTCCAAACGTTTTTATAGACATCAACATGCATTTTGGATACTTCCCAATTATCACATTCACTGTATCATTTGCAGGTAAAATTTGGTGATGGCAGATCAGTTTTCTGCTGTTGGAAGAACGGCTCAAGGTGTGGCTCATGAGGCCTTCCGTGCCACAGTGTCTGGTTCTGGTGGTGGTAAGTTTTTGATAGACATCAGTTGTGACCGAGCGGTAGTAAAAGATGTATTGGTAGCAGTGTCCGCAACGGCAGTCACACTGAGTGCAATTTACGCTGGATATAAATTATTATCGCAAAAAATGGATGGAGCTGTCAATAGAGGCCTTGGGGGTGAAAGAGATGACCAGCAAGTTGGCGCAATTGAACCAAGATGCCTACATGTACGGCTGCATTGTTTCACAGACAAGAGATTTCTTGAAGTATTGGAAGATTATGACTCTGGAAGGATAAAAGATCGCGTCAAAAAAGAATTTTCGGATATTGGTATCGAAGTAGAAGGATTAACGGTCAAGATTGAAAACTGGGAAGAAGTAAAACAAAGAAAGTTAACTATATGGGAAAGGTAAATGAATACGTACTGTATTCTCTATAGACTTTTCGTCGTTCTATTTCGCACCGTCTTAGTACGAGAACTGAATGCGTTAAGTGCGAATATCTTTGACTAAAAAAAATAAACTTAGAATATTGTAATTTCATTACGATTAATTTAGTATATGTAAACGGCTTTTATAATTTATATGTTATGAAAGAACGTTTTTGATTGGCTCAAATGCGTATACTAAATAACTCGATCGAGGACGCCCAGAAAGCGCGGGAAATTCTTGCTTCTTTTTTGGGAAACATTTCCTACAGACTTTTCACAAAATGTTTCATTGTTCTAATCCGTTAAAGATAACTTGTTGAAAAAAAACACTCAGCCAATTGCTTTTGACATATAACTGATTTATTTTAACCAAACCAAGATAAAAATTCAAAGTTAACAGTCCCCATTTTCCCACAGTTAAAATATGATCTTTTGGAGATCCCCCTTTATTTGAGTGTGCATTTTATTCAATATATTTTTAATTATCAAATGTGCATCATCCTTCACACAGATAAAATATGAGATCTGCAGTGCTATTATAGAACTGTATATTTTAAATATAGCACCATCAACCTTGAAGTGCATGTATCAAGAGTGTAATACTATTCCTAAATTTCTATACTGCAATTATACACTAGCTTGCTGATGTTTTTGGCAAGCTTGGAATCAATGAATGCAAATATGATTTAATTATCCTCTCGACAAGTAAAATTGTCTAGGATACTGTAAGCTATTCAATCAGAGCAAATTCCCCACTAATTACTAACTAGAAATACATTATAATGCGAACCTTTATAATTCTTCATCCAATAATAACTGACTAATATACTTACTCGGAAGTTTGAACGTTTCCGCTACATGAATTCCCATGCGATATGATCATGAACATTAAGTGAGACCAGTTCAATTATGTTAATTGAAGGCTGATGCCGTATAACAAAAGTCTATCAACTATATTTACTTTAGTATATACTATATTATGGTTGATAGCAGTGAGATGCGAAGTGAGATGTCGAGTAAGATGCCCAAAATCGTGATATCTATACAGCACACGGTACAAATGTCATCACCTTATCTATACCTGAACTTGTGATTACGCGTTCGATAAATGTCTCTCCCTAGCTCAGTTGCATGGTTAACGCGCTGCACCGGAATCACAGAGCCGTAGGTTTGTTTCCTGCCAGAGAGCCAATAGTGAATTTTTCACAACCGCTCCTGGTAAGGTTTAACTTTTTCAATGTAACAAAAAGTCCACTTGAAATTCCATCTACAATATCAACCGTGTAAACTATATATATTTGGTACCCCACAGAAAGTCGCAGGACACATCTGTTTCCTTCTCACCACGGTATGCACTTACCATTTCCAGGGCTGCCAGCTGGGTGAGAGGGTCTGCAACCTGTCCCGTAATGTTGTTTTTCATTGGCCCGCTTCCCTTTCCCTCCATTCGCTGCCCCTGCCCTCTTGTCCCCTAATCTCACACTGCAATTAAGGCAAGCTAAATTAGGGCCTGAAATTTGCAGTATATCCGATACTCAACCTCGTTCCCAGGGCTTTCGTGTGAAAACGAGATGCGAGACGAGAAAGCCCTGGTCTGGGCCGGTCAAGTGACTACAAAATATGGATATATTTGACAGGTACTCATACCTAATTTTAAGAATTTTTTATCACTGCACATTTTGTGCCAAAAATTTCCGAATGACTAAGAAAATTTCCGAATATTCGAGAATTTTTGGCGACCTCCACACCCCCCCCCCCGGTCGCCAAAAAAATTTTGGGTCAGTGTACCATTTTAAGGGTCAAAAATTTTTTCCATACCAAAAGCCAGATATTAACTAAAAATTGCCTGAATCTCATGATTTTCGTACAAAAAACATATACTATTTTTTAATTCGATAATTTGGCAGTCATCATTTCAATTTCAATTAAATCATTCTCTTGTGTTAATTAACAACTTATCAAAGCAAATTTTATCACTGCACATTTTACATTTTATCACTGCACATTTTACTTTTATCACTACACAAATTGGTTATCACTGCACACTAAAATTAGGTATGCAGGTACTTGTCAAGGACTGGCGAGATATTCTTAGCTGAAATATACAAGTATTCGAAACAAATATACAGCCAAAAAGTCTTCTCAATCGATATTATTTATGTGTAGCGAAGTTTGGCATGAATCAGCTGAAATCTATGAAGGCACCGTCGATGTTTTCTAAGCTATACCGATATTTCTGGAGATTTTTCAACTAACAGTGACAGGCAAAGCCAAAGGTACAAGTCTCCAAGTGGTGATTCACACGAAATTTGCTTTCTCTCCTCGTGAATAAAATGGCTATAGTTGAAATATGCTTTTATAGCGATATTCTCAGTTCGATATAAATAAACACAAATATAAAACCTCGCGTATACCTGTTTACGCTGGACAGGAAATATACGGGTTCGACAACAACACTTGCCGGCCCGTTCAGGAGCAATGCCTGAAAAAGAAGGCATCAAGTTAGACTTTGTAATTATTGAATCGAAAACTGCGAGAGATTTGGCGTCTAACAGGAAAGCGATAGGATAACTTCGAGGCGAGCTAGCGACCGTAGGAAAAGGTCAGATGCTCTCGAGGGTGGGGTTGCTACCAAAACCTGCTAGAACTCCAAGACCTTTTAGCTCTATTTTATTCGTCGGTGCATATTATCCATCTGGGAAAACGGTAGAAACAGAGAAGAAAATGCTTCGAAACCTTTCAGCTGATCTTGACTTATTCTTGCATGATCATCCTTCTGCTGTAATGATCGTAGCAGGAGATTTTAATAAAATGAACGTAATTCCTCTGGGTAGATAATTCAATCTCCGTAAATCTGTTAAAGCTCCAACAAGAGGAAAGAACGTACTGGATCAGATTCTAACCAACATGCACGATTCGTGTGATGAGGTTCAACATTTCCCGCCCACTGGTCGATCAGATCATCAAATTCTATTATTTAAGTCGAAGAGACTCAATCTAGCAACGACGCATCAGACAAATAAAGCAAGAGAACATACGATCTCTGTGTCTAAAACTTAACCTAGAAAATTGGGACGATGTCTACAACACATCAGATGTTGATGAAAGAGTTAACACATTTACCGCAACCTTAATCAATTTGCTTGATGAATGTTTACCTGAATGCTCGCCCTGGACAACACCTCTGATACTTCTGATTAAGCGAAAAATCAAAATCAGACATGCAACAAGCGTATACAAGAGGAAATACAGTTGAATATAAAGATAATTAAGTGTGAAAAAGTGTCAGGACTTGTGACTTAGGCCAAACCTTGGTACTGTATATATCGAAAATTTAGAATGTAAAACACTTTGATCAAGCCAAATGGTATAAAGCTATTTATAAACTAGAAATACATGCATGCAGTAACCCTCGCCAATATTTTCCAAACATTAAATTAACATGAAGTATTCAGAAATGGCCCACTGAACACAGGCTCGCGCTCAAGTGTTGCAATGACAACACGATACTCTTAAATTTTTAATTTTTCATATTTTTTGTACAAAACTACAAAATAGTTCAAAGATTCGTACTTTTAATTAACTATACAACAATAAATTTCCATATTATATACTGTAGGTATTATTTTGCATTTTGTAAGCTTTGATTTAATGCAAAATTTAACTTGAAACGCTTCGTAAAATGTTTTGAAATCTTCATTCAACTATAGTTCATTTGCCGATAAACTAATAAGTATAAAACATTATAAATTACAAATAAAACAAATTGTTAGGTAATTTCAGTTCAGTCTTCAAATCAATTTGTTCTCTTTTACATTTTAAAATTTTCCTCAAATTAAATGGTAAGTTATGAAACTTAAAGCTTCGTTGAAAAGGAAAACAGTTCATGTTTTTAGGCAAAAAGTTAATTAAAGAAACAAAATTCGTCAACATTAAATATTCAAAGGAAACTTGCGGTATATTTCACGATTTCCCATAGTAAATCTATTCTCATCTTTTCAAACAAAATTGCTTCAATTAAGCTTGTTGTATATGAAACGATTTTCCAAATATATGTCTTTTAAAATTGAAATCTTGCTCATCCCACTCCTACACGCAATCAGCCATATTTTAGAGATCAGTGAGGATGACCACCCAACTCACCATCGTTGGTGACCGACGCCCGCGATATTTGATTAACTTTAGACCTCGCTAATGCTTTCGTTTCCCTGGGTGTAATTGGCCGGGGGAAATTAGTACCCTCGCACGGCGCTTCGCGCCGTCGGCTCGGGGATTAGCATCGAATCGCAGAGGAATCGTTTCACTGTCGGAGACAGTAGCGGACATCACAGAGAGGCTACAGAGCGCATTTTCAAGACCATGGCAAGACATAGTTCCAACAGAAGTCCCGGATGTTGATGATGTTGTTTTGCGGCTGAAAGACAACACCCCTACCATGCCATCTATTGGGCAAATTAAATCTTTGCTTAAACATGTTAATCCTAGAAAGGCAACAGGAGTCGATATGATTTCCACATGGGTGCTTAAACGTTTTCATGAAAAGTTAGTTCATGACATCATTTGTTGCAGTATTAAAGAGGCAAGTTCCCAAAATTGTATATGCATGCCTGTTCTTATTACTCCAATCCCCAAAGTAAATTGACCCAACGATATTGACAACGACTTCTGCCAAATATCAATTCTACCTCATATTGCCAAGCTGCTTTAGAAACACCAATTACTTTTGAACAAGTTAGATATAATTCTGCTCAATAATACTCAACACAGCTTTACTACAAATGGGTCTACAGTATCTGCAATAACACTCTCATCTCAAAATTGGTATATTGCAACGGACAATTCGAACGAAGGTAGATCTGGAGTTTTCGACCCAATGTATATATTAATATATATATATATATATATATTAATATACTATATATTACACCTTCGTTTGGAAAGACATGCTTTGCATGAGCGTCCCCGAAAAGAAGAAGGTATGACAAGAAGCATGGTTACCACTAGATTAACGCCCTTAGGAAAAGAAAAATTGTAGAGTATGCAGGGCCGTCAGAAGCAGCAGGCCCGGCCGGGGAGGGGGGAGTGGTCTAGTTTCAATAATTCCCTTATCCAAGATTGAATTTCTTTTCATATATACTTTAATTCATTCTTGCAATGACAGGCATTTACAATTCGACTTATCCAATTAATTCATGCTTGCGTCTGCAAACAGAACGAACATTGTTTCGAAAATGGGGGCGGGGAGCAGAGGAGGTTGTAAAAGTTAAAAACTTGAAATTTTAGATGCAGGAATTCGAACTTCACAACTTTGATAAAATTCCTTCAGAATGCTCGTCTGAAGATTCGGAGACGCAAAATTTAACTCTCCCCTTCCCCACCCGCCATTAACAATTTACTGTCAGTCAAGCGAAATTTCAATATCAAGAGTATAAGTTCATTGAGACACGTTGCGTAATTTCTTAATGTTTCACGTATTAACAAAGGATAGCTTGGAGCATACTGTATAGGTGGTATATAAGGGCTGCTGGCGCTTATACATTCGTCGAAGCAGGGTTTTTCGTCTGTGTGACTGAGTGAGATAAAAAAAGGATGCAAAGTTAATTCATTAAAAAAATTCAGCTAACGCCTTGATATTCAACACACTTCGGTGTTTCATTGAGGTCGTATAGCATTACGTAGCATTTCTTAGCTTTCCAATATATCACAGCAAAAAATCGTTTTCTTATTTTAAGAAAAAAAAACTTATTTCAAGATTTTTTATCTTGAAATAAGAAATATTTTCATGGGAGAATAGCGAGAAATAATTTCTAGTCAAGAAAACATACCTAGAAATTATTTTCTTAAACCAAGAAAATAAATTTTCTTGTTTTAAGTAAATAACAACAAATATATTCAAATCTTTTTCTTGAAACAAGAAATTTCATTCTCATACCAAGAAATACTGAGAAAGAATTTCTTAAAATAAGAAATGTTGATACCTTGTTTTAAGAAAAACAAACTTGTTTTAAGAAATATTTACTTAATTCAAGTAATATTTTCTTGTTTTGAGAAAGTGGGAGAATAGCGAGAAATATTTACTCAGTAAGAATGATTACTCAATAAGAAAATATTTCTTGAAATTTAATTTCTTGTTTCAAGAAAATATCTTTCAAGAAATAGAAAATATCTTTCAAGAAATATTTTCTTATACAAAAATCTATATTTTCTTACAGAAATATTTTCTTAAACTTTTCTTGCTATTCCGGCCTACTTTCTCAATTCAAGAAAATTAAATTACAGAATTCTTGAATATCAAAATAAACAGGATTAAAGAATGTATTATATGGAATCTGAAACTAATTTGTACCTACAGTATCTACAGTTTAATCGTTGAGTTACTCATGCAGAGCCTTCTTTATATTTTTAATACGACTTTAATATGGTACTGCAAATTGCACTAATGTTGTTTGGGATTCGGTTGTCCTTAAAAACAAGAAATTGTAGGACTGCCAATCTTAGCTCGTGTTGTTTGGGATAATCAAAATCCATTAAGGGCTAAAAGCCAACAACAGCTTCTGCTATTTGACCAACATCGGTACGCAGCAAAATGTGTTTTCCAACAATGAGATATATACTTTGCTGATCAATCAGGATGACAGGAAGATTGCCAATTTGTTTCTGACAAAAGGAATTTGGACTTTCATGGTCCTAAAAAGTAAAAACAAAAGAAACTTTATACACAATTATTTAGAACAATCTATCTGAAAGGATCTTTTTGGTGTTTCTGAAGTATAAGAATACACATGCTAGCGTAGATACACTAAAATAGATCATTAGGGGCCTTCCTGCAATTCATGAACTACTTCAATCATTTTTTTGACAACTTCGGTCTTGGAAATATAGCGGAAATCTTCTTCAATCTTTATATGTACCATTTTTACATCTGCCAAACAATACAAATATTTTGTTTATTAATATTAACAGCGCTGGAAAACTGAATTAAGCTGGACCTTCTGGGGCTTTGCAGGAAAGTTTGGCAGATATTTCTGTATTTCTGTTAACTTATTGGTTGGCAATGTGCTAGATTTTATTCTTTTACTCTGTCTATAGAAAGACATGCAGATGATTTTACCTGTCAAGGGGGGGTTCTTGAAACCGTGAGAATAAAATAGCAAAGTAGAGAATGTATATTTCCAGTCAATGGGTCAGCAAGAGAAATTGGCGAAAATATTTATCATGGCGAGAAATTGTGGACATGCATGCGCACTAACCGCTTGGACTTGTAAACAAAATGGCCACCATAATATTAGAGATTTATATAGCAAAAATTATAATATGATGATATAGAAATCTTATTTGGTATCACGACATTTATCTTCAAAGCAAGCGTAAAGTAAAATATATAGCGCAATAGGCAACATATCTCAAGCGAGCCACGACGAATTCCAATTTCTTACTCTTCTGAGCTACGGACGCAAAATGTTGGATATTGTTTGGCTTGTCAATACAATATGTGTTTCTAGGGACCATTCATGTCAAATCTCTGTGATTAATACGTGGCTTGGTATTTTAACACAATTTTAGTGCAATCTCGATGTATTTTAACCGTGAAATTCTACACCGGGCACTGAAACTTGCCTAAAAGGTGCATGAACATAAACAAACCAAAGTTGGTCGTCCTTCTTCGAAATATTCTTCCATTTTGTATGCTTTAAAGATGCCTCTGCCAAAGAAGAGCTTTGTAAACATGCCTTATAGTTTCTAGGCAACAAAATTTTATATATTCGTAAACATTGTCGGCATAAAGACTTCAGATACAGGTTAAAGTGGGTATATAATTTTTTGCACAAAGGTCAGATGGGTCAATCGAGCAAAACATAATAAACACTGAAATAAATAATCCTGAGTGGTTTAAAAAAGCGGTATAAGCCACTGATGGAAACCAAGACATTTATGAAGGCAGAATATATAATACTTATAAGCTCTGCCCCCTAATGTCCACAATTTCTCGCCATGTCCATTTAGTGATAAGACTCTCCCCTAGACATATTGCAAGTAAAAGGGTTAGTACTTCTACAATGAACCCATTGACTGGCAACGTGCCATTAATTTAAGATACTTTAATTACTCATTCAGTCTGTCTTTAGCCAGAGAGTCTTCCAGCTTGTCAAGAGGAGGGTCTTGCAACTTAATGGTTTACTTTTAAAATTATAATGGACTTAATTTAAACAAGCATACTGTACTTACATAGTTTTGGACTTCGTGGAGGAGTTATTCCTTTGCTGATACCATAAGACACTAAAAAGTCAATTTCCGACAACAGGCGCTCAACACTCCCATCTGCGAACTGGCATCATGCAACACAATCGAGATTCAAGATTCTTAACTTCTTGTTTCCTCAATTATCTAAAGAATATAAATTATATGTACTGTATTATATATTTATGAGTGGGAATATTATTCCAATATTACATGTATTCAAACTTACCACAGAGCCAGAGTTTTTTCTGGCCGGAGGTGAAAAACCCTGGAGTTAGCACAGCACTAATATTTTGTAATGTAATGTTTGTTATGGACAGTTTATAGTGTGCTTATATAATTTATCTCAATTCACAGTTTATACAGTATAAAACTAAAGAGATTTAAGAGAACAAGAATATTCATACATCTGTGATGGTTTAACCTTTGCTTGCAATCACAGCAGCTGGCATGCAATTTGGGCAGGCATTTTTTAATTTTGTTGTAACTTGTAAATGAATACAGATCTATTGCTGCAAACAAAGGCCGGATAATGTGCAAATCATACAATTTGAAGTTTTTGAACAGCAACTGCCAAATATACATATTTAAAACGCAAATATACTAAAAATGCGATTGAGCTGAACAAACCTTAAGTGCTTCATAGTTATTATTCTGTAATACTTTACTTCAAAATATGTTAACAGTAGCAGAATTTAGATTTTAACCGCTGCGATTTGCTCGCAACTGTCGCAAGCAACGAATTATTTAGAGCACGTGAGTTTTTCTAATTCTATAAATATTCAACAAAAACATTACCTTCCAGTATCTGTTCGCATTCTTTGTCCACACTAGCAGTTTGTTTAAGTAACGAATGAAGTTTGTAGATCCATATTAAACTTTCAAATGGAAAAATTTAATAAAATTCAGCGAGCAAGTGAACACACAGCCGTTTGACTTCGAAGCAGATTTCGAAAGGACGCGCATCTTAATCCCAGAATCCTTTACGCGCTCTTTCGTGGGACCGCGCGACATGTCGCGCACATGACGTCATGATATATTTTAATTCTTCAGTTAAATAAGCTAAAGAAGCCAATTTTAATGATTTATTTATTCAATTTTAATAACATATTTGTTTAATTTGAATTTGTGTGAGCAGGCTAAATTTCCATATACCCTGGAATCGAAGTTGCCTCGTCCCCAGTTTTTCCAAAATCAATACAGCGCGGGTAAAAAAGGGGGGTTAGTTTGTTTTACTATAGAAAAAAAACACACACACACAGGTGACAATAAGCAGTGCCGTTTTAAAATGTTAAAAATTGTCGCAGATGTCTCGTGCTGAATAAACCTTAATATGGTGTGTCAAGTGGCCCCAAATACTGTTCGGAAATGTTCCCTAGATGTGCTGTGTTCGTGGCACTCACTGTTCGGGTTCTTATGAACCATTACTACAGTAATAGACAATCCATAGACAATCCAATGTCTTTTGGATTGTCTATGCCACAGCGTACGCAGCAATATGAAGTAAACTTCTTCGTCCGCTGTGGAGTCGACGATTGCCCGGCAACATGTATCACTCCTCTTGACAAGCACGTAAGAAGGAAAATGAAATGGATATAAAAAGTTGTTTATTGTAAATAATAAAATTGTGTTGCAATTGCATGCATATATGCATGGTTATAATTAAGATTTATTAAGTGTATGTACTCGGTTCAATACAATAATATTTTCTTATGTCAAGAAATAATTTTCTTGAAACAAGGATGTGAATCTTTCAATGAAACAAGTTTTCTTATTTTAAGAAACATTCAAGATTTTGTACTCAAGATTTGTTTTCTTATAATAAGAATTTTAGAAGTTAAGATCACTTTTATTGTATCAAGAAATTATTTACTCATATTAAGAACAGTTTTTCTCACAGCAAGAAAAAAATTTCTTTTATCAAAATGAGTAATTCTGGGGGTTAAAATAATTTCTTATTTTAAGAAATTAAATTCTATAGTCAAGATTTTGTCCCCTAAAATGAGAAAAATTTTCTTCGCATCAGAAAATTTTTCTTTGCCTAAGAAAAAAATTCTTAAGATGAGATATATTTTCTCAGTAAGAAAATGACTTTTTGCTGTGTATTGATTGGTTGCTCGTATTAACATGTAGTATGTATGAGTTAATGTTTGTAAATTTGTTATTGAGTCCATATGTATGTAGTTTCTTAGCTTTTAGGTATTTTTGAACAGCCAGTTGAAAGCTCATTATTCGGTGAACAATGCCATTGGGCACTTCACAAAAACCGGCCAAGGCTGAACAAGACTCTCAATTAAGCATTTATAGGGGCTGTTTTTATGATCCTGGCTAGCCGGGATCGTGCTGAAAGTCAAATTCATGTTATAGTGGGCAAATGCTCGATGAAAAACAACTTTATTTGCAAGATTAGCTTAAGAAATAAGTCAAATGACTGAGATTCAAGCTGAACGGACTTCCCACGGATAACATGTAAAGAGAAATTGTTTTGCATAGGAATTCAGTTCTTTTAAAGCAAACGATACGCAACATAATATTTATTAAGCAAACATGCCTTAGGTTTTACGGGTTTTGCAATCTATTATCTCCCATCTTCTTTCTTGATGAAGCAAAAACAAACGAACTGCTTGATTCCTTGTCTCATCAAGGTCTCTGAAAATGTTTTTTCGTTTTTCTCCGCAAATCATACGTATTTTATACTCTTGATATTCGCCAAAATTTTGAGAATTTAGACTTCGCTAATTAATGCTTTCGTTTTCCTGGGCGTAAAAAGCCGAGCGGAATTGGTACTCTCGTCCCGGGCATACTTTAATCTAGTGGAGAATTGTGTAATTTGTTTTAAGTGAAATTTTATCAATTTTAACCGTTTAAGCACTGATGATTTGATTCATGTTAGTGTATGCAATCTCATGGTAGAATTAGCGAAAAGGACTAAAGAAGGCCAATGCGCCTCTTTATAACGAAATAACTCGTTCCTAAAATCGCCCCCGGAGTAGTTACAATGTTCTGAGTTTTGAAAGTTTTTTTTTCTATGTACATATACCCTAGTACGATGCAAGAGATGTCAAGATACGTGGAGATATTTGTTCCTGTATCGCAAGAGTGCATGGGTATTGTCATCGGAGCTGGGAGAAAAAATATAAATAAACTTAAACAAGAGACACATACGAGGATTACGTCTTGTAGAGAAAATAACTTCGGGAGAAAATCTGGTTTTACAGTCACTGGCACTACAACTGATTGTGAAGCAGCACGACTTGCTATACAACGTCGTATAGTAAGTATTATAATTTTTATCGGTGAAAATGAAACAATCTGATTGTTTTTGCATCTGCTTGC